CAACAAGATATATATATACAACGCCATGTATAAACACCACCATGCCAACAGCTTGCAGCGAAGAACAACGCAAGAGACAGGAAAGGAATAGGAAACAACGTGAGTACTGTGCCAGGATAAGGGCTCAAGAAACAAACGAGGAAAGGTCAGTGCTTCGAAAATTTAGCAGCAGCTTTGCTAATTTTCGCTGAGAAATTAAAACCATACTCCCTCGGCCATGATGAAATATATGCTTTATGTCAAATCATCGTAAAGAGTTCACTGCTAATAAAGGATACTAATAAAGGATTCACTGCAACATACTCCTTTCATTTAAAATTATAGGTCGCTATGAATGGGTCTGTGGTCCAGTGGTAGGCCTGTCCAATGGGATGCTACCCACCAGGGTTCTGGTGATCGCACCTTTTTTTGGAATTTTTCCAGAAATTTCAGGGTACAAGCACGCGTGCGCGTTTGGTAGTACAGTGCGTTTCCCGCGCACTGACGCGCATGCATGTGTGTGGGTTGTGTGCGTTCAAGTTGTACCCGACAAAAAAAATTATAGGTCGCTCTAAATTTTCTTGATACGTAGAAAAAGTTATATACTTAAATAAGTTAGTCAACTTGTAATTTAGAATCTGTGAAGGATTCATTGTTATTATATGTCTCTTAAGTATAATGATGAGATGTAGAGCAATCACATCGGTACGTAGCCGTCTTCTATCTAGAATGTAAAAAGTCAACCGGAGGTTGTTCTCATCATTATCCGAGGCCTTAAAATAAAAAGGTACTACGAACTCTATCAAGAGCCCTCCTTATTTGACAAGGTGGGCCTTGCCCATCATTGGCTCTCCTCTCATTCTTCTCATCCACTCTCTCACTCTACTCTCTATAGTAATTAATAACTAGAAGCTATGAATTGTACTCTTATGTGTTGAAATAGTTCAAGTCAAATGCACAAGGTGGATTTTCTCAAAGGATTAAGATAAAGATGGTTGATATCAAGAACAAATGGTACATGAAGACATTGCAGATTCAAGTGGTTGAAGTAGACATAACGATTTAACTTGAGCATACGTATGTTGTAATATTAATTGGCATGGAACATGAATTTTTTGACAAGTCTAAATTCTAAAATCAAGCAAGCACTGAGTAATGACACGAGAGAAACACAAGCCACAACACTTGTACTTGTTGGTTCTGGGGCTTGTTTTTTAGTTGGGATGATTAGCCCTCTGAACAAGATATCAATTTCGGAATTTGAAGAAAAACATTATAGCGTTTTCGTGAGGTGATCTGGGTTGTTTTGTTGAAGTGTGCAAGTTTCGTAATTGTGCGGAAGTTACTCATATTCTGTCCAACGACTAGTTTTTTTGTTCGAATGGCTAGTTTCTATTAAGTGCGGAAGTTCTGAGCTTTGACTGACATAACGGCTAATTTTTTAGTGGATTATACATACTCCCTCCCCCTAATTTGGAGGGGTTGTTGCTATCTCCCGCTCCCATAACAAAACAAAAGGCCATGTGACCTCTATAGCCATCTCTTCTTTGTGATGTTTGTGTTATGTGTGTCAATCGTCTTTTGAGTTGGGTCGAGAGATTAGATGACTGTGAGTACAAGAGAGCAATCTAAATATTTGAGCACGGGAACTGCTCAAATACTCCTCTTTCTAAAAATTGCACATATCTCAAAGCAGCCATATAATTAATTAAAGGCAGAATAACCGTTTTGGTCCCTGAACTATTACTCGAGGCTCACTTTCATCCCTGAAGTTTTAAAATGGCTATTTTAGTCCCCAAACTCTACTTTTGGGCTCACTTTCATCCTAGAACTATGAGGATGACCATTTCAGTCCTCAAACTTTGCATTTTGGACTCAATTTCATCCATAAACTATCCAAGTGCATTTCAGTCTTTAAACTTTATCTTCAACTCAACTTTGTCCATAAATAAAACTTTGTATTTTAGGCACAATTTCATCCATGAATTAAAAAATGCATTTTGGCTCAACTATAATAATATAGGGTTATAGGTCCAGCACCACCCACGTTTTGAGATGGACGGTTATTGTTAGGTACTGTTGTCCCTAGTGTCGTCCCAGCTAGCGAATCGGATAGCAGACTTTCAACATTTATATTCATATTCTAAGATGCATATAGATATAAATATTCTTAAATACGAACTATTTTTAGCCTATGGATAAAAAATATTATTTGATACACTAATTATTTTTAGTTGAGCCTAACTCTAGAAGTAGCTAAGGAAAAAAATTATAGATTTGCTATTATTTCAGTATATATCCATGTATTCTTAGGGAATAAATAGCGTTCCAAGCAACTGTAATTGCTCCCACAAAAAATTATTTAATCATATATATATATATATATAAATATAAACGGTACCATTATAAGGTAACATAACAGCTTGGGATTATTAATGGCCACTAAAGAGTTTTTTTATGAATATTATATGTTCTATCTCCAATCGTTGGTGGTGTTGGAGATGAACAGGTGCAACAGTGCAACGTTCCACGTAGGACGATAGGCAAAGTTCAATTCAAAAATAAAAGTTTAAAGTCTGAAATACATTTTGATAATTTACGGATCAAGTTGAGCCCAAAATGCAAAGTTTGAGGACTGAAACGATCATCTTCATAGTTCTGGGATGAAATTGAGCCTAAAAATAGAGTTTTAGGACTAATACGGCCTTTTTGAAAATTTGGGGATAAAAGTGAGCCTTAAGTAATAGTTCAGGGACCAATACGGCTATTCTGCTTTAATTAAATATTTTCTTAATTATTTCTCACATGGGTTCCGGGCCCATTCTGTCCAAGCCTAGCCATGGCAAGCCCAGACCCAAATCCCTTTCCCGTTGTCCGGCAAGGAGCCGACCAGTTCCGCCGGCGGCAGCAAGCCACTCTGCCTTCGCCTCCGCCTTGCTTGTACCGCCGCCATAGGATCGTGTGTAGCCGACTAGCCGATTGTTCTGTGCCTGTTCCTTTTGTTGCCATGAGGTCCGGCAACGCTGTGTTGTGCGCTCGCTGTCGTAGCGAGCAGCGTCACCATCACCGCATGAGGAAAAGACAAACGTCGTCGTCCAATGCTCATTGGGTCGCGTTGGTAATCCTCACTCATTCTGTTCATCACCGCCTCGAGGAGCCAAAAACAGGTACTTGTTGATCAATCATCCTTCATTCTTCCATGACTTTCTTAGTTTCTTTCGACCCCTTCTTGTTTCTGACCTTATATGTGTTGGTTTCTTTTCAGGGCCCGTTTGGAATCTTAGAATTAAATTTATTTTAATAATTATAATTTAGACATAGATTAATTAAGCTAATATAGTCGTATATGGAATATATTTGTATATTTATTGTTAGACATACAAGGGATATATTTATATGTTGCATTTCTATTGTAGGAAAATGAATTGAAAATTGTGTTATAAGTTGGAAAATAGAATTATAGCATAATGACCTGTAGAATCCATTTCCATCGCTCACACTATGAATTTGAGATATGTTTATTTGTGAGCTTAGAAAAGTTATGGAATGTCAAATTCTAAGCCAAATAACCTAATCTATTATGTAGATTTCAATTCCTCCAGAATAAAGGGATCAAAACGGCCCAGTCAGTGAAATTCTAATCTTGTTTGCGGCCAACACTCTAGTATATGGTGACGGCTGCTGCAACAACGTAGTACTCTGTTCCGTCGTGGTGCCGGACCTTCTCTCTCTGTACTAATGTTCTGAGTGTGCTGCGCTGCGACGGCCATGACGTCCCTGGAGAGCACGGCCCCTGCCTGCTGCCTGCGCATGAGTTTGGACTATTTGGGCTGCGTTTGTACGGGACAGGCCCATTGGAAAATAATTATAATTAAGAAATATTTAAAAAATAGATGGGATGCTTTAAGATCCGTGTAACTTTTTTTTGGAAAGAGGAGTATTGAAGCAGTTTCCTTTGAGCACTTGCAAAAGTATTTGTTACTCTTGAAGGTGAAATCTTCTAGATGTCTATTGCTCAGAGAATTGATGTGCTTACGGCGAGATATGGGAAAGTTTGTGAATGCCATAATATCGCCTCTGCAAGGGAAGAGATCAAGAAAGTGGATCGAGAATACTGGTTGACAGAAACTTAGCTTAAGCTTGACATTTAGTTGCTTTTTGGTTCCTCAACAGAGACGTTGGAAAACAAATTCTTATGTCACCATTTTTGTTTCCTTTATTTCTAGTTCTTGCTTTGTATTGACTTTCTAGTGTGGGAGATTCTATGTGCAGGTGATCTTTATGATAGCTTGGAAACAACCTAAATTGCGAGATAAAATTGGTGGATTTGATCTACGTTTCTCATAATTCATCAGTTGTGTTTTTGCTTATTTCTGCGGAACTTCTATATATAGATTTCAACGAAACTTGCAGATAAGTGGAGAAGTTCAAGACATATATGTGGAACCTCCACAGGTTGACTAATCCATTTCATTTCGAGTTATGAATTTTGTAGGAATCGCCTATTGAGACCTCCTCTAGGCGATATCTCGATCCTTTCAGTTTTATAACTATAGTGTGTACTGTATTGGCTAGTTACAAATTATGACCAGAACTTGATTTTCAATAAAGCTTCACGAAACACACTAGTGACCTTGATAAGTTATTGGATAATTCAAAACCACACACACGCAGCCCTATCCCCTTGTTACCAAATGCATGTGACATATTGGATGTTCACGAAGCTTGAAGCATATTGTGATGTCAAACAATCAACTGGTTTCAGAAATTACAAAAGGCATATTCTTTGTAAAATTTCGTACAAATATACATGGCAGCAGCATATAGAACAGGAAAAAAGAAACACAAAATTTCTTAAATTGTTGATACGCATAGCTAATCAATCAACAAGTCAAACAATAAAAAAATCACAGCTTCATATGAATGCATAAAAATTGGAATGAAGAAGGTAGAAAACAAAATGAATAATGTATTTTATAGACGCGCCTTATCCATCGCTCTCCTAATTAATTAATTTGATCTCAGTACTGTCGCATGCTGCACTCGGGCGGCACCGTTCCGTTGTACCTCTTGCCGTCGGCGCAGTAGTCGTAGATGGTGTACCCGAGCTGCACGGCGTGCATCTGCCGCAGCTGCTTCTCGCTCAGCTGGCACAGGTCCGGCGCGGCGTACCAGTTTGACGACGAGGCGCAGCTGTCCGGGCACCCGGCGGCGCCGTACGAGGCGCAGTCGCAGACGCGGAGGTTGATGTCGCGGTACTCGGCGACGAAAGGCGCCTTGGTCCAGTCCGTCTTCACGCGGCCGCCCTGCGTGGCCCAGTCCTCCGCCGCCCAGATGCTGGAGAAGGCGTACATTTGCCGCCGCGTCGGGAACGGCACGCCCTGCGCCGAGTAGTTCCGGAACACACGGATCGGGATATCGTCGATGAACCACCTGCAGCGTCGCGACGGCGTGCATGGATAGGTTGGCAGGTTGTATATATATAGGACAGGAAAGGCTGCGCATGCACGAATAATAACTTACACGATCATGCACTGGTTCCAGAAGATGGTGTAGTTGTGGTAATCGGCGGTGGGGTCGAACCACGGCCGGAACTGCATCTCCTTCTGACCTATGCCGTCGGCGAAGACGTTGGTGTGCACGGTGTAGGGCTTGCCAGTCTCGTTGCCCAGGAACTCGAAGTCGATCTCGTCGTGGTTGTCGCCGATGGACGACGTCTGTTTCATTATTATTGGATATATGCTATATATAAAATTTGCGCGTCATCATGAGCAACGAATGATAAGAAGGTCGATGAGCACTCACGTAGTAGGTCGTGACCGTGCCAGCCGAGTTGCCCTTCACTAGCTTGATCCGAGTGGAAACGCTGCCGAAGATGAACTGCTTCTTGGTCCGTAGCATACTGCCTGATGATCGGCATGCGTACGTACGTACGTACATCAGACACGCATAGAATTGCAGTATTCATTACGTATATAACAAGTCAACGAGACGACACTTTTTGATTACGGATAAACTTTGGTATTGGTATACCAAAATTAAAAGATGAACACAGGTAGTATGTATACCTGAGGAGTTGCTGACGAGGGACAGCGTCAGGTGGTTTCCGCCCTCGTCCATCTTGGCGTTCTGCGGCTCCCACGTGATGTCGCAGTCGCCCAGGAAGTTGGCGCCGACGAGGCTGAGCTCAAGCACCGCCATCAAGGTGACGGCGGCAAGGCGGAGAGCCTTCGCCGACCTCCCCATACTGAGATTTCGATAAATAGACGATGTGCTTTCGTTTCAGTTGATCAATCGATGCCTTTCTCAGCCTGACAGCTTTGTCAGAAACCTAGAAGAGGAGCTTTGCTTATATGCAGCTTGGTGAGACCGAACTCGACCGTTTGGGGGTGTTGGAAGTTTCTGGCACGCATGTAGTAGGCATGCAGAGCAAGATTGAGTTTTTCATTTCGTGGGATTTTTCCAGCTTGTTTTTGTTTGTTTCGATCATTTGAATAATACCATAATAATGGCATCTTTGATTTCTCCATCAAATCGTTCTTGGCAGGCTAGCTTAGTGCTATGCACGCAAAGCTACGATGGAAGCACCAGAGCCGTTTGATTCCCATGGTCTATTTGACAGGCAGGCAACAATCAAGGGGCCATGACTTCGTCTCTAGACTAGTGCTTGCCCTCAACTCGGGCAGAAGGTGGCAGTTGGTCAATGCTCTCGATGGCCACTATGCTGTTGTCAGGGGTTATTAGGAGAGGAATAGATAATTACTAGAAAAATGGGTGCGGCGTTGCCGCGCCAACATGCATACAGTGGATTGGGCTAGTGTTTAATTTGTGTTTGCCTCTCAAGGGGTTGTCATGAAATAGGTATTAATCATCATGTACAACGTAGGTTCATACTCTCTACGTCCCAAATTATCTGTCGCATCTAGTTTCCCTGCCGCAAGTTTGACTCGATTTATAAAAAATACGTGCAATATTTTGTAAGAAAAATGGACCCTTGGCCCATTTACTTTGGATTTTGATGTTTGATGACCAACACAACCAAATTGGACTAATGAATTTGCAAGTGATTGTTTTGTAGTTCAATAGGATACAAGACGTGACTTGAACGAAGGCGACGTGATGATCCGATGATCAACACCATAAGCAAGACCTTATAAGCACAAGAGAAGACCCAAGATATCAAGCAAAGTCCAAGCACAAAGATAGGAACCAAGCTGGACGCTGGACCAGACGCTAGACCGGACATTGGACCGGACGCTAGACAGCTCACAGAGGTGACCAGACGCTGGACCGAACGCTGAGCAGCAAAATGATCGGACGCTGGGTGCCAGAGTCCGGTCAATATCAGTAAGGTTCCAGAGAGCCGTTTTGTGACCGGACCCGTCCGATTAGTGCTGATCGGACGCTGGTTAGAGTCCGGTCAGTAGCAGAAAAGCGGAATTTCGTCCCCAACGGCTACTTTCTCAGTGGGGCTTATAAATAGACCCCAACCGGCTATTTGAGTATAGTGGAGCTCAGGAAACATATCTAGGGTGTTGATACACCATTTTAGTGATCTCCACTTGCATAGTGCTTAGTGTTTCATTAGGTGATTAGCGTAGGTGCTTTGTGAAGTGCTTAGGTTGATTAGACCACCGCTTATGCGCTTACTCTAGGTTTAGGCCTAGTGTTTAGCGATGTTTACATACCTCTTACCATTCGGTGCTTGCGCGCATCATTATTGTATATCGGAGGGGCTTGTAGTCTTGCGAGATCACACTGACCGCGTTTGTGGTGTGGCCGCCACTGTGTACCGGAGGGAACAAGGCCCGTGGCGTTTTGGCCGGAAGCTTGATAGTGAAGACGGCGGGGAGCATCCGAGAGAGGCTTGCCGGAAGGCACGTCGGAGACCCACTTGCGCGTGGGGAAGGCACGAGCCTATCCACGGAGTTACCCGACCGGGAGCTTGGCCCTTGCGAGAGATTCCTTACGAGGGGCTCCAACGAGGACTAGGGGGAAGCTTGCTTGCTTCTTGATACCTCGGTAAAAATACCGGAGTCGTCGACGGGAGTTTGCATATATCTACCTTACTCTTTAGCTTCCACATTTACATTGATTGCATTACTCCTTTTACGATAGAGATAGCAACACACTAGCAAAACCGTAGTTACACATTTAGATAGTTTATCTGTTGCATAGGTTTTGCTATGGTTAGAAAAAGAGGCCATAGTTTAGGGTTAGAATTTTAAGTTGCCTAATTCAACCTCCCTCTTAGGCGTCACGGTCCCCTACAAGTGGTATCGAAGCCAGGTTGGTTCAATTTAGACCTTTGGCTTAACCATCGTTCAGCCGACGCTTTTTAGAGTGGTTGGAATGGATACCTCTAGGCCTCCGCACTTTGACGGCACTAACTTCCCCTATTATAAAGCTAAAATGGCTTGCTACCTTGAGGCGGTTGATTTGGGTGTTTGGAGAGTCACTCGTGATGGGATGAAAACCATTAAGAATCCCGATAAACCCACGAAGAGTGAAGAAAAGGAAATTCATTTCAATGTTAGAGCTAAAAATTGCTTGTTTGAATCATTTAGTATGGACGTGTTTAACCAAGTGTTCACTTTAAATACGGCACATAAAATTTGGTTAAAACTCCAAGAGCTCCATGACAGCACATCTAATATCCGTGAGGAAAAACATTGTCTAGCTAAACAAAATTATGATTCCTTTACAATGAATGATGATGAGCTTGTTCGTGATATGTATTCTCGTTTGAATCTAATTATCAATGAGCTCCATTCAATAGGACTAACAAAGGTAGATGATACGGACATCGTGAGGAAGACCATCTCCGTGCTACCACAAAAGAAATATGCAAGCATCATCACCATCCTTCACAACATGGAGGACTTGAGCACCATGACCTCGGTCATAGTCATTGGCAAGATATTGGCATTTGAAATGTCATGCAAGATGGGTCAAGAAGAAGCATCTTCATCAAGCAAAGGCAAAGCTCTCGCATGTAGCGAGAAAAATAAGATGAATGGCAAGCAAGTTGAGATAAGCTCAAGCTCAAGCTCCTCAAGTGAAGATGAAGAAGAAGATGAGGACGACGACGACGATGATGAAGATTCGAGTGAAGATGATCAATCTTCCTCCTCCACCTTCGACCTTGATGAAGAATCAATCAAACTAATCAATAAGGTGGAGAAAATGATTCAAAGGCTCAATGTCAAGGGTGTGCCCATTTAAATTCAAGATATCATCTTTACCAATCAAAGAAATGAGCAAAGAAAGAGAGGATGCTATGTGTAACAACCCAAAAATCCATACACCAAAAATACCAACTACAAATTTTTTTCCTCAAGAATCCCATGTGATGATGAGTGTCATGTATAGAAACCCAACCTAAGAGATGCATTAAGTCTAACCCAACCCCAGTCAACATATAAGCATGACATGTCATTAGATAACTGTGTTTATTAATTTCTAACAAATATAATGTTGCATACATTGTTAATTCAAAATGTGATTTGGATTTCCATTTGAGTTATGATTTGCTAAACAACTCCAATAAAATAATAAACCATAAAGATATTATTAAACAAAATTCTCTAAACTCCAATGAATAAGTTACCTCAGTTTTGAATTCAAATTCTAAACCAAATTTGAATCCAAACAATGGAAAAGAAATGAAAAACAGAAAAAGGGAAAAGAAGAAGTGGGCCTCATAGCCAACCGCTCGGCCCAAGCTAGCCCGCCTTGATTTTATCATGCGGCCGCCTCCCAGTAGCCACAATGAGATAGCAACCGGTCCGCCCAACTCAAGGCAATGTTTCAATCAAGGCCAAAGACGTTGCTCACCCACCCGCTTCTTCTTTCTTCTTCACTTCCTGGCCGCTGCCCGCTGGACCCCGCGTGTCAGCCGCACACCCATCTACAGTGTCGTCTTCCTCACCCACGCCTCAACCGCCACGCGACCGGGCGCCCCAACAGTGGTGGCGAGGGCGGGTGTGGTCACGCCCGGCATGGCCTGTCTCCTTAGCGCCGCACCCACGCAACCCTTGCGCCGCGCCTACGCCACCGCACGCGAGCCATTGGATGCCACTGATCATGCCTCCATCGCTCGATCGCCGTTCGCCATTGGAGCTCGGAGCTCGGCTATAAAGCCACGGCCCTCGGTTGCCCTAGCGCTCTCCTATGCCCCACCGCCACCTTGTGACCGTCCACAGCACACCCTAGCCAAGAGGGAAGAGGGAGGAGAGGAAGGGGGGAAAAGGAAATACCGGAGCCGTTGCCGGGAGGAAGACCGGGAGATCACCGGAGCCGGAGCGGACGACACTGCACAGCACGGCTTTCGGAGCTACATGGCCTTGACTCTTCACTGCACCGCTATCCTCTCGCCCTCAACACCTACGGTGAGCCTTCCGGCCTCTCCCTGCTCGCCGCCGGACCTTACCGTGTCGGCCATGGCTCTCCACATCATGAGCGCATAGGCCAAGGCCATCTCCGGCCACCGGGTACACACGCAAGGCACACTCACGCGCACACCGCGACCACCTCCAAGCCCTTGGACGTTGTAGACCCCTCCAAGCCCCACGGACGCCAAGGTAGAGCACTCGCTCATCGCGCTCGCAACACCGTCGTCGTGGCGTGGCCACCACCGGCCAGAGCACCAGACCATCGCCAAAGCACGGACCACCGTCGAGCACCGCATCATCGCCAAAGCACGCAGACCATCGGCCGGAGCACCGAGACCCTTTGGATGAGCATCGAGACCATCGGCGAAGCACTGCACTAATGGCGGAGCACCGGACCACCTACCGAGCACCATACCAACGTGGCCAAGTCCGCTGGGAGCACCTAGCGTCTCCTAAGGATGGCAACGGATCGGGTTTGGGGCAGATATCCATGGTTTCGAGTTCTCGCGGGTTCGGGTTTGGGGATGGTTTTTCACCCATGGTTTTGGGTTGGGGCTCAAACCAATCGGGTTCGGTTTCGGGTTTGGTTTTTCACACCGTGGATATCCAATGGATATCCGAAATAAATCATTTGGAATTAAAACTCATGTTTTATAATATACTAATAATAATTTGTTTACTTAGATTATTAAATTTATTTAAAGTTGACTCATGAAAATATTTATTATTTGTTGCCTCTTATTTATACATGTGAATATGTGTATATATATCCGCGGGTTTCGGGTATCCATTCGGGTTTCGGGTATCCGTTCGGGTTTTGGGTATCCGCGGGTTTAGTTTTGGTGATGGATT